TCATCGTCTTCTACAACTATCAAAATATTTATGTACAAATAACTAAACTTACTTAAATGCTGCGCACAGTACAAACGTACTGTGTGCGGCATTTAAGTAACATTAGATTAAACGTACTGCACACAGTACTAACGTACTAAATAAAGTATATTTTATATTTTAAATGCTGCACACAGTACTAACGTACTGTGTGCAGCATTTAAGTAACTTTAGATTAAACGTACTGCATTTATTTAATTATTATTTTTTTAAAGCAATGATAATTGGATAATGCCAGTGCAATAAATGCATTTTATGTAAACTTATTGCAACTAGTCAATACATATTTGAACACTATGTTTGTATTTAGACAGTCATGGTGCAACGGTGTCACGTGCTTATATATCGGTTTGAATGCGCGGGGAATTGTTAATAGCAACTTTTTTTAAAAAAATCTTTTTCCGAGCCAATTCAAAATTAAACCATAGTACGTTAGAAATTGATGTCAGTAAATCTGACAATATTATCTTCCCAGTGGACACCGGACCAAAAAAAGACATCTTTTAAATGTTCAAAAGACGTCTTAAACGTTCAAAAGACGTTAGATACGTTTAAAAGACGTTCAAAAGACGTATTTTTTATGTCCCGTTCCCACTTGATTATTATCTTCAATATCTATAAAGTCAATGTCTAACCCTAAGTCTCTCCAAGTTTGACCCAGTTGATAGTTACAAATACTTAGTATTTTGACTATCTACAGAACTTTTTTTGGATATATTTAACTATTTAGAACTAATTATAGTTGCTGTATTTTGATTAGCAACGTTTTGTGTGATCTCAGGACGCTAAAACACCTTATAGAGGAAGACTCTAGCTTGGCGGTTCTATCGTAAAATGAAAAATGATTTGCAAAATATTTTTCTAAAAAAACTTTTTTTTTTTTTCTAAATATTTTTAAAACTATATTTTACTAATTATTAAACGTTTTAATAAAATATAATAAAACTAATGAGATAATAGCAATATTTATAATAATCACATTAATGCAATAATATAAGAGCCTCGTAATAAATTTTTATTGACAAGCTAACCAAGCGTATATTTGACTATACAACTTTGATTACAGTTTGAAGATTGGATTCATTTATTAATCGTTTTGTATTGGTAGTATAGATGATAATGATTTTTTTTTTGGTTCTAGTGAAATAAAGTTTATAAAACTTTGTTCGTGTTTAAGGACATTATGTCATCTCTAAACCATGTGTTTCATTTTTAAAGTTCTATATTTACACTTAATAAGAGGTCACTGATAAAAGCTATAAAAATAAAACAGATTTGTGTATTCAGGAAATTTATGTTATCTAAGTTTTACGAGACTTTAGGAAGGTAGTTAATGTAAAGTATGGATTGAATAGATATCTGTTTCGTTTTTCTATCATTGTTTATTATTATTATTATTATTATTATTATTATTATTATTATTATTATTATTATTATTATTATTATTGTTATGGGGGATCGGACAAGAAATTAGGCAGGTTTTGTATTTTTGCTTTTTGTGCAGATATTGTGAGCAGTAGAATAATCTGTTTAGCAAACATTCACTTAAATTTCTATATTGTTTATGTTGATATGAAATAATAGCATTAAAATATTTTAAAATAAAGACGAAAAGCATATATTGTATCTATATGTTTCAATGTCGATTTAGATCTAAAAAATGATTTCAAACAAATCTAGCATTAGCAAAAAAATGTAATCGTTTTACCAGTCAATTGTGCCAATTGTTTTTTTTTTTGTCAAAATCTCATTAAAAACGTTAATAAAATAAAATTTCTACACGAGCATTAATAAAGAAATCACCTTTGTGAAGTAAATCATTTTATTTCATTTCCGAAACGCTAAATCGGGTACATTTAATTTACATTAGTACGCCAACAGACGGTATTTGCGTTTATTGGTATTTAATTTAACTAAGCTTATTTAAAAGAACTTTTTGTAGAAAACTGATATAATGTTCGTAAAGCAATATTCATTTTCGCTAATAATAATAAAATGATATTATAGAATATAAATGTTATTTTTTTTTATACGAGATTAATAGTTTCTAGTAAAGATTTTTGCCTCAGAAATAAAATTTATAAAAATAACCTGATGATATATATATATATATATATATATATATGTGTGTGTGTGTGTGTGTGTGTGTGTGTGTGTGTGTGTGTATGTGTGTGTATATAAAACTTTAAGAACTATTTTTGACAAAAAGGCGGATCTAAGGTGGCAACTATTTATTTATATCATTATAACGTTTTTTAAGGATTAGCTCATACTTCCGATGCTCTTTGTATGAACAATTATGACGTGTTAGTAATCTTCCGTTCTCGGAAGTATTATTGAATAAAAGAGCTTTTTTTCAAAATCAAATCTTTACGTTTAAGTTTGTTCCCTCTTTATGTTTCAGTTTGTTCGGTTGATTTTTAAGTTTGAGTTTAAGATTTAAAAAACTTAAATTCTAAATATGTAAGTATTGTAGAAAAACTTGAATCAATTTATATTGTAAGTTATTATCAATTTTATATTGTAAGTTTTTGCAGAAAATTAAAGAAATAATTTTACAAGAATTATCATTACATAACTAAAAAAGTTGTATCAGATAATAAAGTAAAATAATGTCTCATATAATTTTCAATTATAAACGCTTAATTTCAACAACAACAAAAATTTACGCTTTCCGTTAAATTTCTTATTGAAGAGGGTCTTAACTTTACTAAAGATGCCTAAACCCGCTTACACACCATTTAACTTATTTCGAACTGACGGGAAACGTTATTTGATGCTTACCATTTTATATGGTAATCATTTTTTCGGATTAGATATAAATTTATTTCAAAGCAATGCCATTTGTTAGAAGCAAAACAATGTGTTTGTAATATTTTTTTCAGAGAACGCGAAAACTTAATCAACTCTTGTTTATTATGTCTCTACTATTTGAAAAGTTACTTCCCTAAAGGTTGAAAATTGTAATAAAAAAAGTGTTTTTTAACTTGACAAAATTTTTTCTGACTGTTTATACTGCTAGTATTCTACAGTTTGAACTTTCCCGCTAATATCTTTTAAAATATATATATAAAATTGCGTGTTGCTATACAATATTATTCAATTTACTTTAAAACAAACAAACTTGTAGTGTTACTTTTAAAACATTTCAAATATTTAGCGAAGTTGAAATTTGCATACCGTATTCTAAAATATTTGGAAATAATGTTAGAATTCGGCACGGGGTCAGAGAAGATCATTTGTTCAAAACTGTTACTTTTGAAAAAAAATCATATCAAAAGCATTTCTTGAAAAGTTACTTGGGAGAAACACTTTTATATGTATTATACATGTAGCCAACTTGATCGGTATAAACTATTCAACACTTTATGTAGTATACTCAATACTACTATGCTATATGTAGCCGACTTGATCGGTATAAACTACTTAACACTATATGTAGTATACTCAACACTACATGTACTCAATACTACAATGCTATATGTTGCCGACTTGATCGGTGTAAACTACTCAAAGCAAAGCTTTGTCAAGAAAAATTTTTTTTTAAACAAATTCAAACTTTTTTCGTTATTATAGGTTGACAACGCTTTTTCCGTCTTCTTATTAGTTTAAAAATAATCAACATTCTTTATTTAACATGTTTTCTTGCTTTCTAAATAGCTGTTTTGCTAGTCTAAATTGTCAGTCACGCTCTGAAAATAAGAATCTTTATTTTGTTCTCACAGCTCTGCAGTAACCTGGGGTGTAAAAGTAAAATTTTAAACTGAGTTTTTACAATACACTCTTCAGTAGAATGGAGAAGCCTGGAGAGCAACACTTTGAAGCATTTCCGGCTGCTTATTTTCTAATTTAAAATTTATAGATAGATCAGATTAAATATACTTTTAAAAGTATTCATTTTGGTATTCTATAATACGCATTATATCATAAATCGACATTGATATTGGGGCGTTAAAACAAATTTTTGTTAGCAGTTATTTAAAACAACTAAAATTTTATTGTTATTAACTTTGTTAAATTATCCAGATTTTTTTGCTCAAAAATAGTTAGGATATTTTTATCATATATGCTAATTCATGAAAAATATGCGTGTGTTCCTTCTAAAAATCAATTTAGACCGGCGTGACACAAATACTTAATATACGCTTTATGAACACGCGAGGTTCAACTTATTTTGTCAGAACTTAAAATAACTTAATCTGGAGTTCCATTTCTTTAGAAAATGTTCTAATTTGCACAAAATATCACAGAAACCGGCTACAGCCCTTTTCCACTCGCCTATTGTTGACTTATAATATTTTAAAACGCTTTTTGTTCAAACTTAAATCTGTTTTAGGTAATAATAGAAAAGTACTAGCTTGAAAGTGTTAAGTTTCATCATTACTTAGAAAATATCGCTTAATTTAAGCGAAAACAAGTTTTGTTTACAACAATTTAGTAAAAAGTACTCAGTTAGTTTCCTGGCCATTGTCGTTAAATTCCGCAAATTATTTGAAAAAATTTTTGAACATCGGAATGTTTTAAATATTTTTAAAATATTCACGTGCTGCATAGCTATTTTTTTTTCCATGTGCCGATCTTTCGTAAATTTTTAATAAGTAATTATGATTTAAGAAATGCAAGCTTTAAATAAATTATGAATGTTAAAATTATAAGTATTTTCTTATAGATCACGTTTTAAAATATACACTTTTATTTCTAAGGAAATATTAGTCATAATATCTTAACTATTTTATTTTTTCTAAAACAAAAAATAAAAAATAGAAACGAAGCTTTTATCTTTTAAATCTTTTTCGCAGCTGTTATAGAAATGGGAACACCCAACATAACAAAGCAACGTGACTTTAAAGATTTAAGGTTATAAGATTTTTATACGTATATATTTATATATTTAGATTACTTTAATTTGTGAAAAATAAGCAAATTATAAGACTTTTTCTGCATGAGTACATAATTTTTCACCTCCCAGCAAGACGATGCCAACAATAAATTATTTGTAAGTTATGCCCACGTGTTATTGGCGCCCATGTGAGCATTTTTAATTTTTTTAACTCGAATTAATTTGATTGGTTGTATAACTATGCCAACCAATCAAAATTAAGTATTTGTGATGACGACAGGTGCACGTGACTGTTGTTTTGGAGTTTTCAAGCAGCAACATTTTTTGTTATCAGAACTCGGAATTAACACAAAGCGAAAACTAAGTAGAATTTTTTTAGCCAGAAGTTAAGTTGTACTTTATTTAAATATGAGTTTAGAAACTCTTCTAGAGGCTGCTAAAGTTGTCGAACAAAGAGAAAACGCTGGTATGAATTTGTTTTTATTTGAAAACTCTCATTAAAGTAAAGCTTTTTTATTTATTTATTAAGTGTTTTACCAAAAGTATTTTTTAAATTTAATTGTAGCTTATTTTATGATTTACTTGATTTAATGTGATATGATTTAATGTTGAAGTTTTTATCTTTTTATTTAAAACTTTTCTTATATTAGGCAAATATACAATCGGAAATAGAAAAGATAGAAAATTCGCTAAAAGATCACAAACATATAGGTATGTAATTTTTTGTTATTCATGTTGTTGTTTTTTTTTTTTTTTCTTTTTTTGGAGTTTAATCATAATTCTTGAGATCTATTTTTTTTATTGATTAATATTTTTTTTTTTACTCACAGAGCTACTCATAACCAATTGGAGAAAAATAGGTCAGTATATAAAATATTTACTTCATAAAATTCTTCTAGTTTAAAGTGTATTTTATTCTTTTTGTCTTATGCGACATTATTTATCTTTTGTTGATCTTGTAATTTAGACGAGCACATTTACGAGATTGTTTGGTTTCGCTACGAGATTTAGTCCCAAATTCACCGGATACATCTAAAGTAACAACCTTAAGTCTCTTACAAAGTGCTAAACAATATATTAAAGTAAGTACATTTATATTTTAATGAATATTGAATGGAAATCTTTATTATTCTTTTTATATTTTGAATAAATTGACAATAGCTATTATTTTGCCTCGCTCCCTTTCTTTAATAATTAGTTTCGGCTTTTAAAAATCACCAGGTTTTTCATATTTGTTTATGTTTTTCAAACTACCAATCACAAGCATTTTTCGCTTGATTGCTCTGTATTGTTATGCTGTTTCGAGCATTTTGCCGTGGAACACCCAACGGTGTAGAAAATTGAATTTTTTAAATCGCCTTTAGGTCTTAGAAAATCATGATCGCGAATCACAATCTATTAAACGAACTTTATGCCTTGAACAACAACATTTACGTAAAAAATTAGCCGCCCTTATGAACGGTTTTGATATTTCTTCTGACTCTAGTATACTAAGTCCTGAAACTTCAATTTCATCAATCGAAGAAGAACTAATAGACGTTGAAAATGACGACGAAACAGGTTATGGCAGTGCCGATGACCGAAACTCGACTTCTTCTAGTAGTAGCAGTCTTAATAGTGTATTATAATAAGTAAATTATATTTTTGCTATCCAGAAAAATTGTAAGTAGTTAGAGAATTTGTTGGAAATATAAAATATTGTATTTATGTAGAGTTTGGAAAACAACCTTTTTTAGTTTATGTAAGTTTAATAAGAAAAAATCGTATTGAATTAAGAATTATATTTATTTTCTCCTTTTCTTGTTTTAAAGAAATTAAGAACTCGTTTTGTGTAAATTTTTATTTTCAAAATATTTGTTGAATAGTTTTTTGTTTAATTAAGTTATTTGAGGACAAGTCTATGATGATAAAAATAGCATCTTCTTGAGAGTTTTTGTTTAGCAATTACTTTTAAAACGTTTACTTAAATCTCTTTTATAAACTCGTTTTTTAAACCGACAATATCAGCTAAGTATAATATTGACTTGTCCTTTTGTCAATGATTAAAATCGCAACTCGCCCTGGCAAGTTTATGCTTGACTTTTTTTTTTATTTGTTTAAACAACGATTTCCTATATAAATTATTTCATATGTCAAGATTTATTTATTGTAATTTATCTGGACTAATTCCATTGTTTAGTTTAATTGTTCGTGTTTTTAATTTTGAAGAGTCTCTTTGGGAGAAACGTTCTTTTTTTAAGAGAAAAAATCGTTTTATTGTTTTTTTTTTTCTTTTGATTTTATGCTTACAAGTTGTTTGTTTTTTGATTGTCTAAGACTTGTTTATAAATATTCAAATTTGTTGTGCTATATACCTAGTGGTCCGCACTATAAAGTTCATATTTTATATAGTTTATTCCGTTATTGGAAATTATTGAAAGTCACTTTTTTTTGGCAGTTTATAAATTATCTGTGAGGTTTCGTATTATTTATTTGTTTATAATTTAAGTTATTTTATTTTTTATTTTTATGAGTTAACGTTTTTTTTGTTTTTTCATTATTGTTTTTTGTTTTTTTAATTACATGTGTTCAAATGCTAGAAAAGATTTTTTACATATCTCTGTTGGCCTATTTGCTCTAATCTAACGCTAGCTAATAATTTTAAAACTAAAGTAAAAATAAAGCAGATGCGGAAAGATATTCTTAATTTTTTCTTCTTACAGAGGTATTTATATATATATATATATATATATATATATATATATATATATATATATATATATATACATATATATATATACATATATATATATATATATATATACAAACATATATATATATATATATATATATATATATATATATATATATATATATATATATATATATATATATATATATATATGTGTATATATATATATGCGTGGTATAAAACTTATATATTCTTAAGTACCATTTATGATGTTAACATATATTAATACTTAAAAAAATATACATATTTCTTTTATTAGATGTTGAGATGACCAAACTCTCTCACAATTACTCTTTGTATCTACTAAAAATAACAATTCACTCTTGCGATATAAATTCAAAGAATTTGAATGGACGCGGTTTTTTACTTTTATTTTTACTTGTTTGTAAAATTTATAAGCGATTAAAAAACGCATCAAAGTATTTGAATCGCACGTGGTTACAAATATACCACGTGTATAAGCCATGTGTGGCTTTTACTCTTTTACGAATAAATGTTTAAAAACTTTTTAAATGTTAATTGAATTATAAATCGCATAGAATTGCATAATTTACAACGACTTTCCAAGTATGGTTAAAGTTAAAGATTAATACCATAATAAAATATTATTTAAAGGTTATTTAAATACAATTATTATAATAGCTCGAGTAATTTATATAATAAAAAAAATTTAAACAGATTTGAAAAATGTAATTGAAAACTTTTCATAAAGCTCTTAAACAAGTAAAGTAATAGTTACTTATTAGACGTTGCCAAACAGAAAATTATACCGAGTTTTTATTATGATAATATATTTCGATTGAAAAATAATAATAATAATAATGAATGAAATTCGAATGAGGAAAAACTCTTACGAAATTATATTTTTTCCTATTCATTTAAAATTAAATTTTAATTGACTTATTAGTAAAGCATAAGCAAAGCTTATTTGTTTTTTTGAAGGCTTATATCTATATCCGATGGATGTAGCGTATCAGTGGGATATTTTTTGAATGACGAGGCTCGACAATTATTTTTTTATGAATTTGTAGAAAAATAAACTTTTTAGCTGTGTTTAAAATGGTGTTTTTTAAACACAATTGTGTTTTTTATAAAGTCAAATTATGCTTTTAAATAACTACTATTTGAAAACATATTTTGATGACTTAATAAAGTTATGGCTTAAATAGTTAGACATTAAACGATTAGGCAGCGTAAGGAGAGACAGGATGAATAGCTAACTCGAACATCTCCTTAGTATTATCTAAATAATATTTAGTATTATGTAAACTGAGCATAATGTTATGAGATCCATGCTTATTCGTAAAGATTTAGGGATAAAAATTTTTTAAACTGAGTTTAGAATAAAGCGGGGCTAGCTGAGTATAGGAACAAGTTGGACAATTAATATATCTCAAAAACTACGTATCGCATGGCAAAATATCTAATGGATGAAAGTTAGGGAATTAGTATAAAAACAATTCTCAACAATAGATTGTTAGACGGCAGTCGAATAAGATGTACAGTTACTTTTTTTATTTTGGATCGAAAAGGTAAAATAAAAATTAGAAATATTGCTGTTTTTCTCTTAGATGCTTACAGTTTTTTTTAACTGCCATCACTTAAGCGTTGATACTTTATCAATTTATCGGATTTTTGATTATAATTTACCGTTTCTTCCCAAGTCTTACTGTTCTCTTTAAAACAAGTCTTACTGTTCTCTTTAAAACAAGTCTTACTGTTCTCTTTAAAACAAGTCTTACTGTTCTCTTTAAAACAAGTCTTACTGTTCTCTTTAAAACAAGTCTTACTGTTCTCTTTAAAACAAGTCTTACTGTTCTCTTTAAAACAAGTCTTACTGTTCTCTTTAAAACAAGTCTTACTGTTCTCTTTAAAACAAGTCTTACTGTTTTCTTTAAAACAAGTCTTACTGTTCTAGCTTCTCTTGTAGCGTACCCCGTTAAACAGCTTTAAAAAATAAAACTGAACCATGAAACACCTTTGATAAGAAAGATCTTTGTGCTACACTATATATAAGGGAGATTGGGGTAATGGCAAACGCGGGGTAACTCCGAACATTGTCAAAACAGCATAACATAAAAATATATTTGACAATTTTTTTTTACCTGTTGAGAGGAAATCCCATGCTCAGTTCCATAGGTGCAGTTGTGTAATGAAGCTCCGATTGTTGTTCACGATAATTTGATCCTAACCTTTTTTATTAATTTTATGTAACTTTTTTCTTGAGTAACATTCCTGCTGTAGCTATTATGGATATAAAACCACTCCTTTTGTTGTTGTCGTTGCATTGTATAATTTTTGCACTTTATTATTACAATTTACATTTTATTCGTTATTACACAACAGTGTTTCCCACGGTGTGTTCGGAATTACCCCACTTACGTAGGGTAATTCCGAACACCAATGGTTTTATTTTTGCCCTAAAATTTTTTTTTATAATAAAATTTATAAAAAATGCTTTTGAGGGTTTGTGACTGAATAGTTCGACTAATTGATAAGTAATAAATATAAATTTCGTATAACTGGTGTCTTTAATTTCCATTCCCGCTTAGCTGTTGGTCAACACCACACTCTCCGCTATGCATATTTGTAGTTTTTAAATCGGGCTTCAAAGTTCAAGATAATTGTATATGATAATGTTTCCATATTATAGTTATCTTAAATTAATTTGGTCAACTGGTCCCGCATTGTTGATCGACAGCTCGGTAAATTTTTAGCTATACAAAATTCCCAATCCCCTCAAAATGAGGGTGGTTAAGGTGTGTGTAAATTTTGCATGGTCATAACTTTTGTAATTTACAACATTTTTCTACAAAATTTAAAATCTGTCGATAAAATTAAGTTAAGTTTAAGATAGTAAAGTTGAAAATTTTACTGCCCTCACGTTTGGGCAGGGGATGCAAACGTTTTAGGGCTTTTTTGTTCCCAGGCCTCCGCTGTCTTAAATTTTTGCAAGGCTTTCTCATTTAGCATAGGTATGAGCATATTTAAGTTTGAAATTTGCACAATGTGTGGAAGTGTCCTTTCTGAAACATCAAAAAATTCTACGGGTGCCCATGAATACTTTATACCAATGTTAGATTATAATTAAAATCAAATAAGCAAGTCTAAATAAGCAAGTCTAAATAAGCAAGTCTAAATAAGCAAGTCTAAATAAGTAGATTTTCTTAATCTAAACGATTTTTATTACTTAAACAGAATTTTAAATTTAATGATGTTACTTTAATTTTAAGTTTGTAAGATATGATTATTAATTATGTAAAAACAAATCAAATAATATAATAAAAAGAAAAGTTTAATTTATTTATTTAATGTATTTGGCATTGTGCCCAAAGAATATTAAGTGTCCTTTTTTTTTATTTTAAATAAATCCTAAATAGGTTTTTTACAAAATTTTTACAATTTTTTTTTAAAACTATTGTACTTGTAAACATACTGTGACAATCCTACTAGAATTATACAGTTGAAATAAGAAATGTTCAAATAACTGTAAAAGTAGTGATTAATACTCAACATGTATTCGAGGTGCATCTCAGAATAATATGTTTTTATTAAGCATCCTAGATATTTTCAAATCTTTTTATTTATAAAGGTAACCCCATTTAGAGCAAAATATGATGTACCGTGTAAATATTTGTAACTTAGTAACGAGGTTTAGGGAACTTTTTGGTGGTTTTAGTCATTAAAATCAATAGTTTTAGAGATATTTTATAAGTTTTATATTTGATGATTTTCGGATTTTGCAAACAAATTTTGATCAACAAAACGTTGAAAAACTGTTAGAAAAAGAGAACATATGTCGTCTGTCAGGTAATACCTCCTAGTTTTATATTTGAAAATTTTCGAATTTTGCAAACGAATTTTGATTAGCAAAACTATCTTTATCTTGTTAAAAAATAAAAACAACATCGTCTGTCAGGTAATACCTCTAATGTATCTAATATACGTTACTTTAGATAAAATATACCATGTGCTGACACGCAGGCCGTTCCGAAGAGATCTAAAAGAGAGGATGATATATTTGTCTTTTGCTAAGTAAGACCTATAAATTTTTTTTTTGATGCGTCAAGGTAGTTATTACTTTTTTACCTAAATTAAATACCTTTCGATGCATCAAAATTAAATCAGAAAATCAAAAAATAAATTTAATACAACCGTGTGCAAATGACTGGTGATACCAGTCATTTGCACACGGTTGCACAGAAAATTATTCAAGGAATAATTTTTTAGAAAATTTACAGACTATAAAGAAGATATGCTATGGGGCCATCCATAAAGGACGTCATCCAAATAGAGGGGGGGGAGGGGTCAAGTTAAAAAGGAAAAAAAAGGATAAGGGGAGGGGGAGGTTGTCAGAAAAGGACATCACTTTATAGATTTTTTATTTTAGTTTAATTAACATGAAAAACTACGTAAACATGTGTTTTTGAGAAGATAATACATGAGAATGTTT